GTACAATAAAATTGGAAATGCAATTCAAAGAAATTCACTTGCACATAACAAATAATTTTTAACCAGAAATGTTTGTCAAGACATATTTTATCTTCCTTTGAATTGCACTTTAGAATTCCCTGTGTGTCTGATTCTCCAGCTCTCGCATGCAGTGACTGATTCAAAGCGAGAGCAAATATGAATACGGTGACCTCGTCTGACCTCCGAGTCCTCAGTGGAAAAAGGCCCGGATGTCCAGAGAAAGCTGATTGTGTGCAGGTTTGAGAACAAGCGTCTGCCTGGGTCTCACAGCTAATGGATCGTGATCTCTGACACATCTGGGCCGTGACCCCGGGCCCCAGAGGTCATCGCGAGGTCGTCGTGTTCTCTGTAGATGAACAGCCCTTAATGAAGCGTGACCTCTGACCTCAGAAAGCCACGGACGTCCAGCGATTGTGCAAACGAGAGAAAGCGAGGCTAACCACTGCCAAACGCTTTCTCCCTCCGGCCGAGAAATATTAGCCTCGGCCACAATACAAAACAGTGTTGTACTTCTGAAGAAACGATTCCACGGATACTTCAATCAGTTCACTGAAGCGGCCCACTGGCTTACAAGCAAGAAAACAGCAGGCTTGTGTCTTTCCTTCATGCCTTCTTACGGGGAAAACACTTTTTACTTAACTGAGAGGAACATTTTAGAAATTTAATTTCACACTTTAATTGAAGGCCCTTCTGGACTCTGGTTTGGTTTTTATGCAATGCGTGATTGAAGACGCCACATTCTCTACATGATCGTGTGTCTGCGCCATGAAGACCGATCACTAATAACTCTTCCTCCAGTGAAAAAGTGCATCTGCTGTTGTCTCTCACATCAAAATCCAGCCACATATTAGTTTAGAGCTGTTTAAACGCTGCTTGATCTGTGCAGATTTCTCTCCTGATTCACACCAGAACACTTTTTCACTGGAGGAAGAGTTATTATGGATTATAGACTCGTATTTTAGTTAAAAACGTCTTAATGCTGGATTAGTTTCAGCTTTTGTCTTCTCCAGATGTTAACTGATGGACTGGAGTGCTGTGGATTACTTGTGGATTATTGTGATGTTTTTATCAGCTCTCGTTCTGACGGCACCCATTCACTGCAGAGCATCCATTGCTGAGACAGTGACATGTTCATTTTTGGATGAACTACAGTATTTCTTAAAGTCTAGTCTCGTCAATACATAATTTCTGACGCTATTACAGACACACTCGTTTATTATCAGTTAAACATTCTTTTGTTCCACTGAGAAACAGTAACATTCAGCTGGTCATGTGATCTCAACATGTCGACCTCTTCATTTACATGAAGATTCAAAACATGCTTTCCAAAAGCTACATTTCCTTGTATGTGACATTTTAATCGGGAAAGGGGCTTGAGGTCACTTTTAAAGTTTTAAAGTCCAGTATTTCTAGAAGGGAAGCTCAAGTAGAACTGATGGTCTGATTATGCTGTTTTAACGTCACATCAGCGTCATGCCTTTCTGTTTGTTTTCATAAAGTGGGCGTCTGTTGGCAGAGCTCGTTCTCAGATAAATGATGTTTAATAATGTGAAAGCGGTGATGACGCCAGAGCACAGGGCTTTAGCGCTCATGCTAATTCTCACTGGAGAAGTGCATGATGGGAGTAATATGTTAAAACGCTGAAGCAGTTCCCTGGCAGCGCTGATCACATACGACCGCAAACCCTGAATATAAAGCACTGCGAGATCTTCCAGATGGTCTGTATTACACTGAAACGCCAGCCTTTCTTCTGGAAGTGGATGATTATCTAAAAAAATACGCAGATTTCACACATAATGGATTGATGGACAGATGTCATGATCTGCTGTAAAGTAGATTTGCTGAGAAGCGTGTGTGTGTGTGTGTGTGTGTGTGTGTGTGTGTGATCAGGTTTGAGTTCAGGTCACACAGACGGATTCGTGTTGTGAATAACAGCATTCAGCTCCTGAAAACTCTTACATGTGAGAACACAAGAAGAGCAGATCAAACTCAGTCATCATTCCTCTCAGCTCAGAAACTCTTCCTCCAAGAAAAGTACAAGCAAGTCACAAATCTGTATAGTTTTGCATGGAAAACAGTAACCAAGCAACTGAAAAAGACATTTAGCCTTTGATGGTGAGGTGCGCAGCAAAAAAAATCCTTGCTTTTTATGGTCCTGCACCACAGTGAAACATGGCTTCAGCGAGAATCAGCAATCAAATCAGCCCTGTTTGTTTTCCATGAACTAAAACAATACAGCTGACTGTGTTCTTCACAGAATGTGATCAGCTAGTGCCGAGTTTCTCATGAAAGACCTTCATGAACATCTGCATTTTCCAGCCCTGCTTTGACACGTCCAGTTATTAGAGGCACAGTTCACCCAAAAGTAACAAATTTTGTCATCATTTACACAAAATAAGACACTTGGAAGAATGTTGGTAATCAAACAGTTGCTTGACCTCACTGACTTCCATATTATGCAAAAGAAAAATACAATGTCAGTGGCTACCAGCAACAGTTTGGTGTCTCACATTCTTCAAAATATCTTTTGTGTTTAGCAGAAGAAAGAAATTAATGCAGGTTTGAAACAACATGAGGGTGAGTAAGTGATGACAGAATTATAATTTTTGGGTAATCTGTCCCTTTAAGACTTTTTTCACATAATCACATAAATGTGACCCTGGAGCACAAAACCAGTCATAAGGGTCAATTATGTGAAATTGAGATTTATACATCATCTGAAAGCTGAATAAATACTCTTTCCATTTTAATTAAGTTTTGATATATTTACTGTAGGAAACTTACAAAATATCTTCATGGAACATGATCTTTACTTAATATCCTAATGATTTTTGGCATAGAAGAGAAATGGATAATTTTGACCCATACAATGTATTGTTGGCTATTGCTACAAATATACCCCAGCGACTTAAGACTGCTTTTGTGCTCCAGGGTGACGTATATGGACGGTCTCAGATGCTGTTTCAGAATATGGTCTTGTTTTCTGGTTGCTCGCTGCTTTTTTTGGTTGAAAACATTGTTTTGCAGCAGATTGCAATTTAGCCTTGTTTAATCTGTTTTGTGTGCAATGATATTAAGATCTGACAACATGATAATATCTTCCCTGTAGACACACACAAACACAAACAGGCTTTAATAAATGTTATGCACACAGACAGAACTCTATCACTACTGTAGGCTTGGGAGAGATAAGGGGCTTAGCCCCAGCAAAAAAAACAGAACAAAACAAAAACTCTTCCATAATTTAATTAAAATATATTTATTTAATACTATGTAAATCCATTAACATATTCATTGACATATCCCTTACTGATATAAAATTTTAATTTAACTTAATTTGGAGTATTACTTTATTGCACAATGCACATTTCTTAATATTATGCCTAAAATGTGTTTTAATTACACTATTAATAAGGATTGTATGATCTCTGTATAATATCAGTCTTTAAATGCAAGATATTTAAACTGTAGCACAAGCAATGCTTCAGTATATCTTTAGTTGGACTTCTGCACAATTAAAGTGCATTAAGTACAAAATTAGTTGCTCTAGTTTAGCAGAGTTCAGGTAAAGCCAGTTTAGAACACCAAAAGTACAACTGCAGGGTATTTTTATGAAGCAACTTGTAGAATACTTAGCACAAGATAAATGTATCCGTTCTGGATACTGAACCTCACTGACCGCATCTTTGATGCTTTATCTGAAACTAAAGTCATTTATTTGTTGACATTACATGTGGATAAATGACCAACTAGAGCGGCAGGATTCTGGATAAACTGAGACTGGAGAATCATGCTTGTGTTTAATTAGGAAATTAGTCTAGATGCAGATGACACTGCATATAATAGCAACACTCTTAAGAATAAAGCTTCTTTACTGGCATCAGTGGTTCTTTAGATGACTAAAAAAAAGTTCTTTAAAAAATAAATGGTTCTTTTAAGAGCTGGTCACTGGACGGTGCTTTAGGGAACCAAAAATGGTTCTTCTACAGCATCACTGCAGAAAAAAAGCCTTCATTTATAATAGTGCGACTCAAAGTAAATCAAAGGATCGAAGAACAGAAACCTGACAGAATACTGGGGGGGAATATGTCAAATACTGAGTGTGGATGGAGTGTGAATATGATCATGCAGAACTGAAGATGACTGAATCAGTGTGTAACTCAGATACACGAACACGCCTCCGGATGAAATGTTTTATTACAAAACGTCTTTGATAAAAAGGAATAATTTACATGCATTCGTCCTGTATTTTAGACATCAGTGTCGACCTTCTGGTCGTGAACCTTTTAAAAATCGACCTTCACAACAAATACAGGAGGGAAAGAGAGCATCTACGCACAACAAGATCCTTTCTACAGAAGGAACACACGAAGACGAACCGAGTCTCTGAAGGACAGACTCGGACAGACTCGGAAAGCCTCGGACAGACTCGGACAGACTCGGAAAGCCTCGGACAGACTCGGACAGACTCGCGAAACGAACCGTCAAATGCGTTCTTTTCGTGTAGATTTGTAATGTTCATTTACAGTTGCATTCATTTTACAGCATGTTAGATAATAACACTGCTATACATTATTTAATATAAAAAAATGACATTTCAAAATATAGCAATTAAAACAAAAAACAGCGTCTGAAGGTTTGTTATGACAAGCTCTCTTATTATTTCACTCGAGGTTATTTTAGCAGATATTTTGATTCGTATATTCAGTTCAGCAGCATTGAGTTAAAGAGAGTGAACTTTATCTGGACTCTGCACATGCATTTGGACACTTGGATGTGACCGATTTCAATCAAAATCACAATTTAGATGCAGCCAGAGCAACAGAAATGCATTTCACATTTAAATCTTCACATTATGCGCAGGCTTCGTTCATCGGGGGAAACCAGAGGTCTAACGCGCTGTAATGCGCACCTGATCACCAAGCTATGTTTCTATCCAAAGACTCGAATTTAACTTCTGCGCAAAAACATCGCTTCAGCAGCAGCGGCCTCTGAGCGCAAGCGAAGTCCAGCACGCGTCTGCGCGTCGGATCCGCGAGCGGAACCACTTCGCTGTTGGGCGCGTCGCGGCCGAGACGCGCGGACTTCATCCAGTCCAGCTTGTGTCCGTGGAAAACCGCTTTGAGCGACTCCCAGCTGAACATGCGGCTGCTGTCGGAGATGCACAGCGGAGGGTCCTCGTCCTCCTCCTCACTCCTCAGATGGAACAAAACTCTCCTCCTCACGCACAGAAAATCAAGACACCACAGCATGAACGCGGCGACCAGAAAACGCGGCAGGATCACCAAACACGCCAGCGCGTTTTTCAGCGCCTTCGCCGCATTCATGATCGATCCCAGAAGAGTTTCTGGTGTTCAGCGGCTCAACTTCCCTTTTATGTGATGAATGAATGTCAGTCAGTCACTCCGCCTCCAAACACACGCTGGAACACACCGAGGCGCATCACTCATATTCCGAAATGCCATTCCATCGAGGAACGGAGTGCAGCGCAAACACAAAGCGTCTCCTATTAACGTTAAAACTCTTGATGGCTTCAGAAGTTCTCGTCAGTCCACTGCAGGAGCTGTAGCAGCGCACGGACGCTCGCGAATGACTCCGTGACGCGCTGCGAAAGTTCCTATGATCTGAATAAGTGATTGAGCAGGTGAGCGTCAGTCGATCATCCGACACCAGACGGCGCTAACCCTCTGATCTTCAGCCGGATCAAGCGCGCAAACCACTGCGCATTCACTGCCGCGCATCACAAGAGTTTCCATCATGCACTATTTCAGGTCATCGATGCATTCTGCCCTGCTGAAAAAAACAAACACACAATAGAATCCATCACAGAATTTGTAATGGTTTTACTGGTTATAATGGAAACTCTAATGGTCCCTGTGGGTTTCTACTGGTAATTGGTCACCTGCTATTGGTGGCGTGTTAACACCACTGAATCCTAATGAAATATGTCATCCTGGAGCACAAAACCAGTCATAAGGTGAATAAATAATCTTTCTATTGATGTATGGTTTGTTAGGATAGGACAATATTTGGCTGAGATACAACTATTTGAAAATCTGGAATCTGAGGGTGTAAAAAAATCTAAATATTGAGAAAATCATCTTTAAAGTTGTTCAAATGAAGTTCTTAGCAATGCATATTACTAATCAAAAATTAAGTGTTGATATATTTACGGTAGGAAATGTACAAAATATCTTCATAGAACATGATCTTTACTTAATATCCTAATGATTTTTGGCATAAAAGAAAAATGTATAATTTTGACCCATACAATGTATTGTTGGCTATTGCTACAAATATACCCCAGCGACTTAAGACTGCTTTTGTGCTCCAGGGACACAGATAATTAAGTGCATAGTGTATAGTTTGTAATTTGGGACAATTTTACACCTGTAGCACAGCAAATGCTTTTTAATGTCCAGGAGGCTGACACTACTGTTCACATACATCAAATGTGCTATACACTTTCAAGTAGTTTAGTTTGGAGTCGCTGCATGAGGTGCTGTCATTTACTGTGTCCTAAAACATTCATTCATCAACAATATACAAATCAAAACATGATTGGCCAAATAAAAAAGTCCAATCATAAGTAAGTGTTATCCATCCATCTAAACTCTGTGTGCGGTCTTCAAAGGACAGCATGGAATTGAATCAAATGGAATCGAGAGCTTGTGAATTCATGATTCAATAAATCATTGTTTTTGAAGAAACTGATTGAATGAATGATTCGGATGACTCTCTCATAAAGACTTGCTTCATTCCTTAAATCAATCAGTGTTTTTGTTTTTGCATTTCTTATTTGAATAGAAAGCTACAGTGTTGACGGTAGTTATTGCTTCACACACATGATCAGGGCGTTAATCTAAAAACAGCCGTTGCTTTACGTGACAGCCGTGCATTACTGGATCACCTTTCAACCTAAACATGTATGATTCTGCACACCGTATCATATTGTGCTTTAAATATGTCGCAGGTTAAGTTCATAAGTTCAGAATGCATTCTATTATGTTCAAACAACATTTAGCCAGACGAAAATAGGACACACTATTAGTACAGACAGAGTGAGTGTTCATATGCGCGGTGTATGTTACATGTGAATATCCACAGGAGCACGTCTGTGACGGATGCCAGCGAAGCCACTACCGCACTTCATGCATTATATTCATATTTGCAAATATGCACGTAAACTCTATATGTGACCCTGGAGCACAAAACCAGTCATAAGGGTCAATTTTGTGAAATTGAGATTTATGCATCATCTGAAAGCTGGATTGACCCATACAATGTATTGTTGGCTATTGCTACAAATATACCCCAGCGACTTAACACTGCTTTTGTGCTGCAGGGCCACATATTTATGAAAACCGAGGTGAGCGTCTGAACTGCCCGTCATGATGAGACTCAAGAGCAGCAGCTTTTGTCATTCAGTCACGTAAAGAGTGTAAAACCCGTCCGGTATCTGCTGCTGCACCCTCACACACGTCTCCAAGACGGAAAAAAGACAAACAGAGCTTTCACATTATGATGAAACTCACTCTGAACACTCTTTCAGAAGAAACGAACCCTTCTTTCGGTTTATAGTGCTTAATGGATTCTTCCCAAACGGCTTAAAAGTCCATGCGTACAAACATAATCAGGCTGTTGAGATATCTGAGATTTCTTAGGCTATTATTTGTGAAAGCAACAAAAAAAAATCTGCTTTCATCGTGGCATTCTTCAGGATAAAGAGAACACATAATCATGTCAGAGGAACAAGACTGTATGTCTAGATGCGTGGTCTCGGGCTTCAGATGAAAGCGGCGTTTTCTCTGTAAACCTCTGGTGTTTCCATGGAAGCAGCTTCTTCTTCTCTCTGTTCTTCTGACAGTCATGAGTTCATTCTGCTGAATGCGTGTTGCTTATCTTTGTTTCTTCACTCAATTTAAGGTTTGCGGTTCCAAAAAGAGGAATGCAGCATCAGTGCAAAATCAGAACTACGTCATCTTCATCTTGACTGCAGTCCTTCAGAAGCATCTTTGTTCTCGTCTGAGTCAAATTGCCTTTATTTATATAGCGCTTTTAACAATACAGATTGTGTCAAAGCAGCTTTACAGTATTAAATAGTGTGTAATAATGCAGAAGGACAATAGTAAACACTCAATTTTCAGTTAAAGGCAGTTCATCATTGAATTCAGTGATATTCATCGTCCAGCTCAGTTCAGTTTAAATAGTACATGTGCAATCAAGTCCACAATATCGCTGGATATTAAGTGGAGTGTGTGTTTGGTGACTGTGAGGATTCACATCTGAGATTGGCATCCACAAACCCCGTCCAGATCTGCAGTTTCCAGTCTGATTTCTCAGTTTAGCATGTGCTTATGCGTGTTTCTTCAGGAATGATTGATTTATTCTCTGGGCCTCTGTCTCTCCGCTGCGCTGCTTGGCTTGTAACCCAGTTACCTTCTATAAACCGAGCTGGCTCTTGGCAGCGGCGCTGGGTTTATCCGAGGACAGCGAGCTGGAAAATCACCCAGTGCGATCCGCAGGCTTACTGAGGTGGCTCAGGTCCAGCGCTGATGAAACACCATGAAGGCTGTCACCGGCGAACTGTCATCGCAGCCGCTTCATCATCCTGCAGCGTTTCTTCCACAGACTTTGATTCCCAGCGTCCCTCGCTCAGCTCCTGCTCCACTCACATGAACCGGCGTTTCTCAGCAGCCGCAGTCACAAAGGACACATCTGATAATCCCACAGTCACGAGGCTCTTTGATCCGTGTGCATTTTTCTCTCGAACTCAATGGCTCTGCGTTTCGTACAAAGATGCACACGTCTCTGTGGCGTCCTGAGAAATATGTCACTCTCGTGTGCCACTGTACACAGCGAGATGAGTGCATTATGCGCAGTGTTGGGGAAAGTTACTTTTAACCAAATTGCTGATGACACCCAGCCAGGTATAGCCTTATCTCCAAATGACTACAGCCCCATTGACTCCCTCTGCCAATGCATTGATGAAATGAACAGTTGGATGTGCCAGAACTTTCTTCAGTTAAACAAGGAGAAAACTGAAGTCATTGCATTTGGAAACATTATTATGCCGCCCGCAGCTGGAATCAGCTTCCAGAAGAGATCAGATGTGCTAAAACATTAGCCACATTTAAAGTTTAGCTGTGCATTTATTGAATGAGCACTGTGCTACGTCCCAACTGACTGCACTGTATTTTATGTATAATCATTTTCTATTTTTATCTGTTTTAATTCATTTTAAAATAAAATTTTAAATCATTTTAAAAGTTTTTAAATTCCCTGTTTTATTGTTGTGATTATTTTTTAGGATTATTTTTATTACTTTTATGTAAAGCACTTTGAATTACCATTGTGTATGAAATGTGCTATATAAATAAACTTGCCTTGCCTTTAAAAGTAATGCATTACAATGTTGCATTACTCCCTAAAAATAGTAACTAATTACGTTACTTAGTTACCTTTTGTGGAAAATAATGCGTTACGTTACTTTTGAGTTACTTTTTAAATCTGGGCAGGGCTTGCTTGTTAGTTTTTAATATAAAAAAGTTATTCTTTTAGGAATGTAAAAGCCCTTTCACACCAAAAGTGGAATGAATGTGCCTCAGGCTGAAGGAAATGTAAATTCACGTCTGTAAAGTAGAGGGCGCCGCTCAAACTAATCACATGAAGAATATCACGCAGGAGAAGAAAGTTCAACACTATTCAGCAATAACTACAATGAAACACAAATGTGTTATTTTTGATTATTAGTATGATTGAATTGGATCATCGAAGGTCAGTAGCAAAGACATTATTTAATAAAATGGGATTAAATACACAAATGATATTTGCCTTACTTAACACATTTAATTATTGCAGCTTTGTATAATATTCCGAGTTTGCATTTGACTGTTTTTATTGATTGTGAGGAACACTGAATGTGTTTGTGTGCAGTGAGATGAGTAAACACATGTTGATATTTAGTCTAGAACTACAGTAAGATCATGTTCACACACAACGCTCTGCACTTACTCCTGATTTCTGTCACCATGGCAACACCAGAGCTGTCACTCAACACATGGAAACAAAGTAACTATGTTACTTATTAGAAAAAGTAACTCCGATATTTCCTTCTAAATTAAAAAGTAATGCGTTATAGTTACTTGAAAAAAGTAATGTGATTACGTAACTTGCGTTACTTGTAATGCATTCCCCCCAACACTGATTATGGTATGCACTTCCATCTCACACTCTTAAACCAATGCACTTACATATAAAAACAGAAATAAATTCATCTCTTTTCTAACTCACTTCCTAATCCAGTTGTCTAATGAATCTGGCATTGTGTATTTCGACTATTGTCGGCTCTTTGACGAATTGCTCTTTTGTAAGTCACTTTGGATAAAGCATCTGGTAAATGCATAAATCTAAATATAAATGCAAAGCAAGGGAAAACAGAATTATGGATAGAAATGATATAAAAAAAGGAACAAACACTAATGTGGACGACGCTTCCAGTTCATGATGAAATACATACGGTGAAGCAACACTGCAAAAACTGAAAGTTGTAAACATGAATGTTAATGTGAATGTGTTGACGCGTACAACGAAACTTTAGTCTCTTGAGTAATTTATAGATTCTATGAGGCACGAGCGATTATATTTCTCTTCCGCTGAAGAGCTTTGCATGATTTTACGAGCTCAGAGAGCTGGAATGAAAGGCCTGTAACCTGTCATTTCGGTCTCATCAGCTTTTATTGTTTTTCCTGAAATGAAAGACTGCTACTAACACTCGGTCTGGAGATCTGCACTGATTTATTCGTGTCACAGTGACTATCTACATTCTCACCTCATGAAAACATTTCCAAACGGGCACATCGCTTGAAGTACTTATTTAATGTCGTAAACCGATATGAATAAGCAGACTTCTGAGAGTGTGTAA